GTGATACAGGAGATGGGAAAGGGAGGGATACAGAAGCTGGGAAGAGGGGGTATACAGGAGCTGGGAAAAAGGGGGATACAGGAGCTGGGAAAAGGGGGGATCCTGGAGCTGGGGAGTTCAGGAGCTGGAGTGGGGGCAGGAGATGGGGAAGGGGGCACAGGAGGTGGAAAGGGGGATACAGGAGTTGGGGGGGTCGCAGGAATTGGGGGTCTGCAATTCCCAAGGGGAACGCTCCGACACTGGGATGGGCCAGCCACAAACGGCCTGGATTCGAAGCATCGATCCTGGGGGCTGCCATTTCCTTGGGAATTCGGGGGGTTTACTGCTATAAAAGGGTTTTACCCGCCCCAGGTTTTTTCTGTCGGCCCCCCAAGCAGAGGAAAACAGGGATAATGCTGGTGGGGAGGTGGGGGGTTTGCTTCCACACCCTGAGCTAGGGAAAAGGGGGATCGGACCCCTTCCCAAAAAGCACAGCCCTGCTCTTTGCAACCAGGTTTAAGGAATCCCAGATCCTTTGTTCTCATCCCATCAAAGGTCAGGAGCGGGGAAAGCCCCGGGGACAAGACAGGGATCCCACTGGGACCTGCCCGAAGCATTCCAAGAAGCCACTATTTCCCTCAAGACAAGCCAAACCAGGATGGAAACTGCCGAGGGGCAGCACTTCCCAACCAACATCCCGGCATCCCAAATCCCGGCTAAGCCAAGAGGAGATGCCAGGACCCGCCTGCACCATCCCAAACCCCCTTCCAGAGAAGCAGGAGTGCTCCTCTGCTGCCACCGAGCGCCGGGCTGGGAACAATCCCGGATTTCCCGCTCCCGGATTCCGCTCCCTCACCTTGCGGATCCGCCTTTTTGTAGGCATTCCCGGCATCCACGAAGCTGGTGGCCGAGTCGTGCTTGCTCTGGAGCTGCATGTGGAGCTTGGCTGCCTGGCAGAAGGCGTTTCCTGCCGCTGGGAGAGAAGGGACGGGGATCCCGTGAACCCATGGAATGAGCGGGATCACGCCTCTTCCAGGACCCGGGGGGGAAGGGGGTCTAGGAATGTGGGCTTCCCAGCAGGATTACCAGCTTAAAATTCATTGAAGATCCTTCAGGATGCCCACCCTCCCAGCATTTAAATAGGAGGAATTGCACGGGCATGGAGCCCATTCCCCGTGGGAACAGCCTGGGATAACTCACGGGAAGGCGTTCGGGCCCTCGCGGCTCCTCCCGGGATGAGGGAATCCCCCCCAAATGCAGGGATTGGACTCACCACTCCAGTTTTTGGCGATCTTGAACATGTTGGCAGCCCTGGTGTACATCTCACAGGCCTCCTCCACGCGGGTGTTGCCCCTGGAATTCAGTGGGAATACCCCTGAGGGACAGGGACAGGAAGGAACTCCGGCCCCGGAGGGGAAATCGGGATCGGGAGATTCGGCCCCTCCGGGCTCAACGAGGCTGATCCCCCCCGTGTCAAAATGTGCTGCTGGGAGGGGAATCCTGGATTCGGGGGTCTCTCCCCAAATTCCAAGATGCCAGACAGAGGAGGTCGACATTTCTGTCAAGGAAATGCAGATTTTGTCCTGGAATCCCGGAGAAGAGGAGGCTCAGGGGGGACCTTCTGACAGGAGGGTGGAGCCAGGTGGGAGGCTCTGCTCCCAGGGAACAATCCCAGAATCCTTAAGGTGGGAAAATCCCCCTGAGAACACCACGTCCGACATCCCAAAGCCCCCGAACCCCCGTCCCCAAGTGCCAAATCCACCCGGCTCTTAAATCCCTTCACGCCCCAGCTCACAACGTGGATTATTTCCCTTTTTTTTTTTTCCATCCCTTGGGAATTCTGGCCTTTTTTTTTTTTCCCCTCCCTCCCTCCCTCCCTCCCTCTGGCAGCCGACCACGGTTCATTTTGAAGCACAGGCGGGATTTTTGGATCATTCCTTGCCCTTGAAAGCTGCCTCTGGAACGAGCCAAAGCCAAGGGAGGCGGTGCCAGGTAACGCTACACCGGCAAGGCCTCCAAAACCCAGCCTTTTTAATCCCAAAAAAATAAAAACAAAGGAACAAAAACACTTATGCAAAGGGAATGGGGCAATTCCAGGATGCAGAGAAGGTGTTTGCCTGGACACCGGGAGGCCTGGACACCCCGTTTCCCGGGAAAAGACGCCAAGAGCCGAGTCACCCCCCCCCCCCACCACCTTTCCCCCCCTCTTTTAATTTTTTTCCTGCGCCTATTTTTAGCCAGGAAAATTAAAAATTCCCCCTCTCGAAATCTCCGCCGCCGGTCCGCTCCAAGGATTTTCAGGAATTTGCCGCCCGGATTATGCCCCCGGAGCGGGCCCTGCCTGATTAATCTGCCGGGGGAGAGGCCGGGCCGGAATTTCTATTTAAAACTTGTGGTTTCAGGGGCTGCGGCAGCTGATTTTTATTCCAGGCCCACGGACAGAAACGTTCCAGGCCTTCACGGAGCATCGCTCCAGGAATGGCCCTTTCCTTAAAATCCCAGATCGAGGTGGCCAAAACCACCACCCTGCTTCCAGGAATAGCGCCAGGAAGCAGGGAAAAGGCGGCCCTGCCATTTTCTCCGGCCGCAGCAGCCGGAGCAGAGCCGGTGCCACCCGGGATTTTGGGAGAGCCCGGCCTCGCCGGGGTGAATCCCGGTGATGTGGTGGGCGGGAGATGATTCCCCCCCCGGGATAAAGCCGGGATGAGCGAGGAGCCAGATGCAGGGATGAGGGTCAGGAGCCGCAGAGGCCGAGAGCGCTCTCGGCACATCCCTGTGTCCATGGGCAGGAGGGGCTGCTCCGGGGGGGATTGGAGCGGGATGGGGGAGCTGCTGGATCAGCCCTGCTCCGTGAGACCCTCACCCACACCGGGGGGGAGGGATTGGGAAAACGGGAGAGAGATGGGGATGTAGGAAATGGGAGGGGGGGGTCCACGCAAGAGATGGGAAGGGGGGGGGCAGGAACTGGGGAATGGTGGATACGGGAGCTGGGAAGGGGAGGCAGGAGGTGGGAAGGGGGTGGCAGGAGGTGGGAAAGGCGGGGGATACAGGAGATGGGAATGGGAGGCGGGAGATGGGGACGAGGGACAGAAAATGGGGAGAG